AAACTATCCTCGTTTTCTTCCGATTCAATGCACTGAATGTTTCCTCCTTCCCTACAGGATATTTCTGCGCCCAATATGTTTTATGGCCTCGAGGATGGAGACAAAGCTAGCTTTCTGCCCTTCAGCTGGTTATGCACTGCCTTCATTTCGGCCAATTTCAACCAAGCGAAGATGTTGAATGATGCCGTCAAGTTATGTGACCTCCGATACATCACAAAACATTTATAATATGTAACATCATATAATGACGTCTTCGTGTTATGATGATTTCTCACTCGTGTTCACACCGCCGACGCGAGACAGACGCTGGACGCCACCGGCGATCTATTTTCGCTTTTGATGAAGCATTTAAAGCTATCGCCTTAATGCACTGCAGCTCTGTGAAATTGCAGCTTCCGCTGGCGTTCGGAGAGAGCGTGCTTGCAGGCAGAAAAATTGGTCTCCTAATAAATCTTCGTACTACACTCTAATATGTAGCCGTCATTTACAACCAGAGTATTTTATAGATTAAAAGTGACTGAAGACTACCTGTCACGTTTGGCAACATACATGGCGATCGGTATCACTAAACGGGACTCTGTGCATCCGAACAGTCAACATAATGAGTCTGTCAGTAACAATGCTGCCTTGCGATCACTGCTGTGTGCAACGCTAACATTATGCCCCGAAGCTGAATGGGAGCCCATGGGCACCACACAGCCCTTCGGCTCTACTCTGCTCACTACCGAATTAAGAGACCAAAGGGAAGAAGAAAGAAACAGAGCTGAGCAGCCGGAACATTAAGGCTACAACAAGCCGTCTACGAATACACAGACAAACTCAAGCAACTGACACAGGCCCCGTTTTCATGCCTGTCACCTTGGCTCAGGTTGAGAGTCAACATTAGACTTCAGACTTTAATAGCGCCTGTTCAAAACATAGGCAATGATCGCAGAAATCGCGTCGCATATGAAGCTGTTCTTGTTTACTTTGCAATGATTTTATTGTTTAAGCTCTCAAATGGTGAAATCACCGGCCACAGTTCCTCAATTTCTGACACTTGCTTTTTCTTAAAGGCAACACATGTAATGCTTTGCGAAGGGAACGGATGATGACCTATATCTCTGGAAGCAATCTAGTGGCATTTTGTCCTGCTAAGTGCATGAACTCCAAGCTTGCGCATAATGTGCTATGCCACTAGAGAGTAGAAAGCATCGGGGAACATTAGGCACCCAAGCTTCTAATTTTAGCTCCTGGCAATTGCTTCTATCAAAAATAGACTTTCAGTAGTCGAAAAAGCAACTCTCAGTAAAGCAAACGCCACGTTGACAAACGACCTTCTGCGGATTACTCGCATCAGCTATGTGGTACCGGCCTAGCAAACAACGCGCGAGCGCCTTGGTCACGTAGTCGCGAACTACAGACGTCTTTGCAATGAGCTGGGTGTCCAGGACAAGTACTTCATGATTCCTATTTCGAAGTTTCCATTACATCTTTAACAATGTGAATACAGCCGAAAACCGAGCCGTATAGCAGCCTAGAATACAGCCGCGACATTCGTTTGCGTGAGAGACGACACGGCGGCATCTCTACTCTAGTTGCGGCGCCTGGCGGCGAAACGCCCCACTAGCATTGGCGACCCATTCTTATTGAAATCCGCTCTTTTGCCCGGGCACTGAAAAAATAGAGGAGGCACTGGCCTCACCTATACACACATGCATCAGTGGCATACGACAAAGACAAGAAAAAGAAGGCCATCCCGCTCACCCCTTCTGGCAAGATGTCCATGTGCTCTGTAGCAGCCCTCATTATAGCTTCTCCAAGTCCTGTATGGTGCCGCGTGCATGGCACTAAGCATGAGGGCATCCCTGAAGCCCGTGGGCAAAATGTGATCCTGTGTACAAAGAATATAAATCTGCAGTTGAAGATTGTGCATCATTGAACCTTACAAAGCAGCATAGAGACACCACAAAAACTTATGACACCTGGTTATCAGGTCATGTTTAGTTAAGGCCGTGCTTACAAGGAGGTGGCTGTACAAACAATGACTAACATACTTACTAGCATAATGCTCAGGCACATACCGAGTAGCTTTTAATGGCAGTATTGTCACTACCATTTGTGCCAAAACAGCACAAAGAAGTCTAAGCACAGGTTGTGGTGGCCCCCTTTCTAATGCAAGGCAAATGTGGCGTCGACACTGCTATTGCCACAATGATTAAGATCAAGGTGCAATCAATTTGCTGCTTGAGAAAATTGCTAACTGACACGATTCAGAGGTGGATCATTGCGAGAGCAAACGCGATAACTGAGCTAACTGCAAATGTGTAGACAGACAATAGGCTCCAACGTGATTTCCCGTAGATAACGTACCGGGGGCAAGCATTGCAGTTCCTCTTCACTGCAGTCTCGATACAGGCCAAGAAAGAACTCCACACCCATGCGGAACTTTTGCAGCATCTTCTTGAGGCACACATGTGCAAGCTCACCAAGGTACACAACATCCTTCACCAACGCATCAATCTGGCGCAGGGAGAGTGGCCGCTGTTCCCAGGTGCAGGCTTGATCCTGAACACAGTGTGCATTTTACAGAAAGAATCGGCATGTAAACTAGCCTCTCGTTTTAACAACAGCGCTGTTCTAAGGATGCAGGCAAACATGAAATATTGCAAATAACAAATGTGCAAGCGTGGAAACTGTGTATGCTGGCTAAACTGGATTCACAGAACAGACCAAATCGTCATTTGAGTTCGGGTATTACCGCACCTATGTGGTCATGGCGTTATCGAATGGCACACTGAATCAGTTTACTCTGATAAAATTAATTCATCTCAGAATGCTACTGTTGCTAATTTCACTTACATAAATTCATTACCTGAAAAGAAACTAGAGGTCAAAGCTTCGTTTCTGTATTTCACACCAAAATCTCAGCAACTGAATGCCAGTGTGACCCTGCGGATATCATTCTTTATTTCGTGCTTTTGCCACAGTGGCCGAATAAAATTTCCTGAAGGTTGCTATATTACATCTTTGCGTTTCTTACAAAACAATATATTTGATTTTATGGGCGAAGCTCCTTAGGGTCGAGCAATGTCGCTGCCGCCCCTCGATGACAAAGACGCTGATGAAGAACAAGCACATTCTAGACCACACATTTTCTTTACGCAATCATGCACACTATGTGCAAAGTACCCACCACATGCCATGACAACCATGATGGCGATGACAATGATGACCACAGACTGGCTTGTGCAGTATACGACATCTCGATACGCTTTTCGATACATTCCGTATGACTTGAAACAACCACCAGGGAAACGTGCTCTGACCTTGTCTTTGCCAAGTTAAGGCTAGGTCCGATAACAGAAAGCAGTAATAATGAAGGCCAAACGAAATTCAGAACTCAACACAACATACCGGTTATGACCAATAAACATTTTATATAACTGTACACCCCTTTGTCACTCATTTACATGTGTGAGTGGTCAATGTCATGGGTGACTTGAGCGATCCCACTGCTTGGCCCACTGATCACCATTAGTTTTGTGAGTATACCCCGATTTTTTAGCAATAAACAATTGTGTAGGCCTTAGCAAACCCTGTCAGAACATGCGTTTTAGTGAGTCTGCGCAGGAGCCTTAAGGCATGACTTTATTTCTTTAGATGCTAAGCAGCTTTTCCTCGAGGCTGTGTCCATCCCTCGGCGACCGTGAGTGAGTGAGTGAGTGAGTGAGTGAGTGAGAATTTATATAGTCCAAAGTCGACGGAGACTAAACGGACCAGAGGCCCTGCTAGCTCTGCCAGGTGGCTCCGCCCAGGATGGTGGCGGGAGGTGGAGTCTCTCGGCGATGTCCCAGGCCCTCTGGACGGCTAGGAGTTGGTTATAAAGTTTAGTGCCGCCCGTGGAAGCCTCCCAAAAGTTTCGGTCTGGTAGTTCTGATCACGAGTTAAAGGGGCACAACCAGAGCATGTGTTCAAAATTACAGTACTTGTGATGACGGTGCGGGCAGTGGGGTGAGATATTTGGGCCAAGCCTGTGCAGTATGGTCAGTGTGATGTACGTTTGCGTCTGTAGTTGCCCAAATGTAATTGCTTATTTTTTATTCAATTTAGGACGCGGAAGAGAGAAACCTCTGCACCCTAGTTTATGCGCTGTGGTGATCTGGTACAGAAATGTAATCAATGGATCCTTGAAGTCTATGCATCCCCGTTCACCATTCCTCTGAAAGGGCCACTCACCGCCACGGGTAGCTAGTTCACGCGCTAGCTGGTGAGCCCTCTCGTTTGGGTTGCCGGTCGGGCAAGACGAGGGACTACCCATATGGGCCGGGAACCATCCGCTCCCCCACTGCGCATACGCCAACTCTCCCTCTCTCTTAGTGTGACCACGAGGAGGTGGCAGAGCGCTGCCTCGGCTTTATTTCTATTCTTCGCCACAGCTGTGCATTTATATATAATGCTGCGCGCGTGCATTCTGTTGCACTCTCCTAGCAGCGCTGGGTGTTCACTTTGCAGCACACACACGGTAGTACACACAAATAGGAAAGGAGGTGCCTTGCATCCACCTTGTTCCTCCTCTCCCATTTATATCTCTGCCACAGCTGTGCTCTCGCATGTAATGCAATGCACGCTCGCTCCGTTGCACTCTCCCAAAGGCACTGGGTGTTCATTTTGCAGCACACACACGGTAGTACATACAAATTGGAGGGGCGTAACATAAGCGGTACACAACATGTACACAACTGCACACACAAATGAAACACACACGGAAACATACAAATGGAAGCACAAGTGAACACCAGCACTGCTTTGCATCCCCACATGGTTCCCTTTAGTGGGAGATGGTGTAACTTATTTGTTTTCTACGCATTTTCTCATTTACAAAACTTTGTTTCATGAAAACAGCGGCCCTTTTCTTATTTGTAAATGGTGGTTTTCTATTACAATATAAATGGCTTTTCTCTTCGGTGTCCCTTTACTATCAAGATGGGCTGGGTGCCTCCTCCAAAATTTAAAAGTGTTTTCTAGCCTTCTGGTTGGTGCTTGAACGTTGAAGAGGAGCTCTGAAAGCAGCACAAAAGGAATGCTATGACAGTGAAAAATGCGATGCGAGTGAACTACGGGATCAAGTCGCCCATGATAAACCCGCACATGCTTCACTGTACTCTGTTTCACCACTGTTGTTCAGTACTACCAAAGCTACGAGGTGTAAGAAAGCCCCATGCTAGCACAGCAAAACATAGTCCCAGATATAAGTGCCTTAAAATTGAAAGAGTTGGCTAAAATTGGCATTTGGTGTGTATTATGCCACATCGATACGTGATGTCGTTATTCTTCACATTTATTTTATATGCAATTAATTATTTGTGTCGGTTACCGCCGGTAACTACGGTTACAAATCAACATGGCAGCACCCATGCAGAAGCAGAAGTGACTGCCCACTTCAATTGTCTTGCTACATGCCTACTGCACTTGCAGCAATAATTTAATGAAGCCAGCCATCGATTGGTTTTATTTTACTCGGGGGATAAAGCATCAGGTATGTTATGTCCTTATTAGTGAAATATGCTGCTTGCTTAGCTGCACATGCTAAGCCAAGGCCACAGAGGCACTGCTCAGGCTGCGTCGCCAGACGAAGAACGCTGCAACTCCAAATATCGAACATGCAACTTCGCACAGCGTTCCATGTACGTCGGTACCTCCTTTGGCAGAAACAAAACAGAGAGATAAGGAACGTGCAGCGCAAGATACAAAGGAATGTGTGAATCGAGAAGCATTCACACGAGAGCCACAAACAACGTCAAACAGAAACAGCGACGACCCATGTTTCCCATATAACGAGTTGAGCGTTGTAATTCTAATACAGTTTTGGCTAAATTCAAACAATTATACCTGTTTTTATTATTTAACCAAGCCACCAACTTTGCACGTGTGTATCCTGACAAATGACGTCGGGTGAGTCTCCGCACCGTTACATCACTAAGTTATCAAATTTCTTTTAAGGAGGCAAGTTGGTAGCATGGTGTAGTTTCTTTTTTCGCAGTTGTACTGTATTTTTATGTTAATAAACTAGCCATGTTAACTGCAATGATTGTCTATAGACAGCTCAGCCAGCAGACGCCGCGAAGACGGTGAGTGAACAACACAGTGAAAATGAATACATGTGTAAGGGCTGATTGCCCCGCCTATTGGCCCTGTAGCCTCCACAGTGCTAAGAGATCTGAAACTGCGTATAAAGCTCGAACATCATGCACAGTGCAACGACGAAGCATGCACGTGAGCTAAACGCGGTTGTGAATTTATACACAGCAGAGGCAGGCGACTCATGTGTTTGCATTTACAATTTTTAAGTGAATTTTTATTCATTTCACAATGACAACTTTTCAAAATAATGAATCATTTTCAGCAGTCGCTTAAGATTCATTGTATCAAGACTTCACTGTACCTACTTAGATGTGGGCCAGAAGCCTCTTCCATTTAGTTATTTCAATAATAACATTGCAGTTGTTTTCATACACGCGTGTTTTTTTTTTTTTTAGCTACTCTTGATGCCCTTAGGTCTGGTCGACTGCTTTATGACTAGTCTTTCAAATTTTTTGCTTCTTCCCCACTCACTCGATTTAGCAAACCAAGCTGCGGTAGCCATGAGGCTCATGATACTCAGATGAGCCAATGGGATTATGGCCTGTCATTTGAGCAATGAGTATCTTTTGTCAAAAAAAGAGGAAGCAATATCTAGCTGACGTTGAAAATTAATTGTAAGTTACAGGCCATGTGCTGCACTTCAACGTTTGACTCGCGTGTCCTCAGGAACCTCGACTACCAATAAGCACCATTTTCTGACCCTGCTGGAAAAGTGTTGCAGGACCCCTTTAAAATATTACACCCATACTTTAGTGTTAGTGTAATGCCACAGATACTGTTCTACCAATTAGACATCCTACACTTTCCTAATGCAAAATGTTCCTCTAGAACACCCTTGCACCTTTAAATGAACACTATGTACTATGTACATACCTCCTTACTGCCCTGCCTTGATCGTGTGTACTTCAGCTGATCGTACGACATGTTCAGGAAGGTCTTAAGGCAGCTCTGGACGCCACGTACATATTTTGGAAATTGGAAATCACCAGCTTCCAGCCCCTTGTTGAAGTAAATCATCACGTCAGCCACCTGGAAGCAGAAGCGAGTCATCAGAATCCACTTTTTACAAATCAATGATTAAAAGATTCAGAGCTTTCATTGGTTAAATGCAGAAATGTGCAAGAGAACCATAAGCACAAGACCACAAAAATGCGAAACGCTAAAGTCATGCATGGGTGACTTCTAAAAGGTGTGAATAATCTGTGCTGAGAACTCACAGGAAAACAACAAACAATAAACAAAAGATCATCATCTCTGTGTTTAAGCTAATACCATTGTCACACGGCACATGTAATACATTTGCTGCTAATGACCTTAATGTCACTTTTGTTGCTGCTAGGCGGGCACAGTAAATGACACTCACACCTAATGACATTCGCCCGTTGAATGTGTTCACTGGACTCATGAAAGCGCAACATGTGTACTCTCGTCAACAGGCGCTTGACTAGAGCTCTTTAGTTTGTGGCAACATGCATGTAGAGTGGTGTGAGCCCTTAAACAATAAAGCTGTTGTTGTTTTTTTTATGTCAACACTACAGCCTTCTTCTCATATGTCTTCACTACAAGTAGATAAGTATCAGGCAGTCGCAAAATAAAAAAGTTAGAAGAGAATGAAGATGCTGGCCGCAAACCGCCAAATCAGACTCCACAAGACCTCATCTATCGTCACTCTTATGCTGAAGCAATGACACCTTATAGTGTAGCACTGATTAACAAGCACCACATACCCTTTTCACTGTATACAGTACACTCTGAAAGGACCAGTAACATGTGTTCCACTTAATAGGAGCTCCATTTGCTGGGATTCTAACGTATAGGCTAAAGATTCCATCTCAAACAAAGTTTAAGATGGTATCCTTAGCTCCTCTCCCTTCCTCCTTCTCCCCAGTTCTCACAGCTATGATGCTTTCAGATTAAACACTGATGACTCATATCATCATTTAAACAGAGAAGAAGGCGTACTGATGACTTGCCATTGTGTCAAACACATTGTTGAGGCCAACTTGGTAGTGATGGTGAAGGCAATCTGAGAGGTTTTGGCAACCATGGATAATCTAGAATAACAAAAAGGAAGCAAGGCACATATAGTCAAAGAAGAAAAAAAACACCATAACACCGTTTTCGTGGCCTCTGTGACTCACTTTGGCCATGCACCGAAGCTGATCGTGAAGGCCAGGCTGTTTTCATAGATTTTTCAACTTTTTTTATTGTAAATAAAATATTTTCATAAAATTGGAGGTAAGATTCGTGAAATCGTAACAGTGGTTGAAACTTGTAATTTTACGAGAAATGCAGAAGAGTTGGCAGGTATGCTCAGGCGCAATTCTTTATCGTCATCAGCCACAGCTTCAACAAAGTGCATATAATGCCTTACAAACGTGTAGCCGGTACCACACTTCTTCGAAGAATGACAAATAATGGCATAGTGGAAGCTTCCCTACTACAGAAAAATTATGATTTATGGCGTAGTGGGTACCATGCAAGCGTGCTTGGGGTAGTTGCCCCAAGAATGCTTAAAGGACACTGTAGAAGGGCTGCTCTTTGAACTTTGGCTGTGACTGTGCTGTGCACTCTACGGGGGCCTGGCATTTTTTCTTGCTTCTGTCTAGTGGGTGACAATATTCTTTTCTCTTATCGAATCAGTGTTGGGCAAACAACTATATTTAACAGGTGCTAACAGGCAGTGGCTTCACCTTTTCGATGCCATCAGACTCAAATATTTCCTTCAATCCATGGTCAAACAGATCTTTCTTCATTTTCTGGACATCAAATACATACACTTTGGATGAAGCTACAACCTGCACAAGAAGAAAGAAAAAAAAAAACACATTGAACATTCAGGAAATAGACAGTCTAACTATCACCTAATATATCACCTTAATCAAAGATTCTTCAAAAGTTTCCAACCTGGTAAAATAAGCAAAGCAAGTTGTACACTAATAGCAGCAATGTCTTCGCTACCGCCAGAAAATGATTGAGGTATGAAATGCTCAGGAGAGTCACCAATAGAGGTATGGGCAGGTGGAGCCCCCCAAAACTTTCCCTTGCACCGCCCCGTTTGCCCCCTTCCCCCCAAGCGCAAGCATAGTCGAAACACAAGGCATATGTCCTTCGCCTCCCTGCACCCCCTGGAGGAACTCACTCACTTGTCGTGGGTGCCAACCCAGTAAAGATATCCTAGAATCACTGGTAATCAAACCCATTGCAACAAAAGAAAAAAATAAGCAAAAAAGAAAAACCTGTCAAGCCTTACAACATGCGATAAAATGGTGTTTGCCTTATTTCCATTTGATTCACGGAAAAAAAAACTGCTTGGCATTACCATTGAGAACGACAGGAGTGGTTCAAAAGATTCGTTTTTGCTGAACTGCGCTTCACTCGCACGTTCGCATCTGTGGTAGTTTTAGCATCACGTACTGCTGCATATATGCTTTGCATGCTCACAAAATTCGCTGTGACGGAAAGTTCAACAAAATGCCCCTTGCATGGGATGTTGCCTGATGGCCGAATGGTAGCTTGATGCCGCTTGAGCTGCAGCAAAGAAACAGACGTGACTTTCTACTGGGTGCCGCAAAAAGAACTCCTGTGCTTGAAGTAGCTAAGCGCCATGCATCTGGGCCAGCGTCAACTTTATCTAACGCCGTGGGTATCACTAAAAAACAGCAAACTGCAAATAAGAATTTTCTTGGTACGCATGTAGTACTATGAGGTTTCTGGAGCACCATTTCAACAATCAATGTCGACTAAAAATTTGCCTTTAGTTTCCTTTGAGCACGTATGTTTGAGTAGGCATGAAAAGCAAGCAAACTAGGAATAGATACTAACTTCCTCACATATTACTGCCTAACATACGATATATCTGATAGTCATGTCACTTTCTCACTACACAGAAAAAAAAATTAAAGTCTGATATTCCTAGCTACAAAAAAAAAAAAAAAATGAGTACTTGTAAGGTAGGTTCATGTCCTTGACAGGGCATTTACATTGTTGCGTGAAAGACAAGTTGCTTGCACTGTAGACTATTTACAAGATGTATTTATAATAGCAGTTGCTGCGCTCGCTGACGAGTCCAACACGGAGCCCAGGCAGACGGCGATCATTCTCTTTGTCGGGCCACACGCGCATGGTTGAAGAGGCTGGCAATGTGCATGTAGCAAATATCATTAGCGGCAGATGCAACTGCTGCTGTAAATACAAGAGACTCTCATTAAACGAAACCTGAAGGGGCCAAAAAATGTGTTCCATTCAACAGGAGTTCCGTTTACCTAGAGATGAAGTGGGTTGAAGCATTCAAGTAAGAAACCAATCATATCAGAGGAAGCTGTTCAATTTAAGCAGCAGTTCCCTTTAACAGATTCCCGTTGACTGAGAGTCTACTGTATACCTTGTCAACAGTGCAAGCAACTCCTCATTCACGCAACGTCTTTGATGTAGGTGAGGGGTACGAGAAAACATATGACGGCACTAATTTTCTCCAGGTCTGGCTGCACATATGAAAGATCAACGAGATAACCTGCCGGCGGCCGACACGGATATAAGTGCATGATTGGGCCAGTTGGTGATTCAAATTGTAGGTATACTGTGCTTGTCCCTGTCCACTTCTTGCCGTCCTTGTTTACTACTTCCATGGCTTGAGCATTTATAAGGGCTAAAGTAACGCAGTGCCAGCAGCTTAAGATGATGCAGTGTTTCAGGCAAGGAGCAAATATAACAGAGAGCTGAGCTAGCTGGCATGCATTCATTCAAAAAAATACAGGGTGTGCAAAGAAGGAAGTCGGGACAGCACAAACGCCCTGGTGTGCCAACTTCCTTCTCGTGTCCGTGTTTGCCCGCGCTGTATTTTTGGAATAACACATATTTTTTGTTCTGCACACACACACAAACAGATACACACACACCCAAACATTAACGAAGCACTTTTTCGTGCAGGCCACAAAAAAAAAAAGATGCTAATCAGACCACATTGATGGCTAAGATAAACCTCAGTCGGATAAAAAATGAAGTTTGATAAGCTTACTTTAATGCAAAATTACATGTTTCTTTGCAATAAATGAAATTTAAGGGTTCCTTAAGGTCTAGATAATGCCTTTTCACATTATTCAAGGTCTTTAAGGATCATTACAGAAAATGAACAATGAAGTAATTAAATATCATTTATGAATTGCATTCTCTGTTCGAGAGTGAACCACACTGTTGAAATGAATAAGTATGTACTAAAGGATTATTTCATTAGGTAAAAAAAAACCTTTGGAGCTGAAGCAAAAGTCAGTGCTTGAAGCGGCTCAAATAAAGGAACCACAGCAAAACAGGTTTGACAAATATACACAAAGCTGATACGTGTACACTACTTTTGACAATATATGTAGCTTCTAGATAAGTTAGGCATTAGTTTGGCACTGTTGTGAAGCACTAGTTGGACCTCATATTGCAAATAACGATTATGGCTATAAGACCATGGCCAACCATAATAGCATTAGAACTCACCGCCAAAACAGAAAGATGTCCATGACGTCCAACTTTCACACCTTCATATGCAATGGAAATAGTCTGCTCCTTCCTTATCGCTGCAATCTTTAAAAAGGAAAATAAGAGCAAGAGATGATGAATGTACCAATGCAGACAAAGGCAATAAAAAAAAATGGCGACAAAGCTGGGAGGAATGGAATTACGCAGATTTTGCATGAAGTGGAATGAGAATGGAACTACGTCATTTTCTGAAAATGAGCATAAACTTCTAAGTCAGACCCTCGAATTTAACAATAAATCGGTAATTTGAAAAGGCTTGGCTAATTACAAGCATGGTACATTTATAAGCAATGATAATTCTGTCCTCAAATAAGGCCGTGTTGCTCCGAAGCTTTTCTCAATTTTTCGTGTAACCACAGCTAAATGCCATGGCATTCGTTGTGCAGAACTACGGTGGCAGCATACCCACCTTCCACTGTGACTTTCGGTGGCATGTCGGCCGCCTGCCGTCTCCTCATCCTTCACTTTGCTTTTTGCTTCTGCCGCTGTCGGCGACTTGGACGCGTATTCAAAGTCGCCGACATAAACGGCATAAACTCAAAGCGTCACAAACTTATGTCAAATTACTGGCCTTCAAAATGATAATACTTTCTAAACTGCAATACGCTTCAGTCGTATGGGACCCCTTCCTTAAAAAAAGATAAGTACCGGCTTGAAATGGTGCAAAGACGCGCTATACGCTTCATTTTCAACAAATATAGGACCACCGACTCGCCAACTTCTCTAATGCTGACGAATAGCATTTCAACCCTGGAAGATAGACGAAAAATCGATAGGCTGAAACTGCTGTTTGCTCTTTATACTGGCTCTACAAAGGTAAATGCATCGGTATACATTCAACCATTTCAATCGCGCCCCACGAGACATCAGCATGCGCACAATTTGCTTCCGTATCGAGCCCACACAAACATGTTCAAGAATTCGTTTTTCCCACGTACAGTATCGTAATGGAATTCACTGCCTGAAGTGGTTTTCACATCTCAGTCTATGTGACATTTTGAGCGTGCCATATTGTCTGTACTGTAGTCTGTACTCGACTCGCTTTACTGTTTATCGCAATTGTGAATGTATAATAGGGAGATAGACCCATCACCGTTGTTCTGAAGGTCATATTAACCTGTGTTTAAGCTCATCTATATTTCTCTGTATAATGTACTTATCTTCTGTATTTTGTACACATCATTCATCTATCTCACTTACATGTGTTTTCCACTTAATTTTTGTGCTTCTCCTGCTTGATCTTTTTCAAGACAGCAGTATGTTGTAAAATAAAATTAAAAAAATAAAATGTTTGAAAAAGCGCTCCTCTAAGATACGGTGCGTATTGACGCTGGTGCGATGCTTGTGTTTACTGCAAACTTTCACATACCAGCTTGCCTGCCATCTCAACACATATTACCCCTCCCCCTTTTTTCTTTTTTGCAATAGCGTCTCCCCCCCCCCCCCCTACAAACACACACGGGTGAATTTACCCGAAACTTTATCGCAAAAGTCTGTATACTAGGTCAGTGCAGCACGCATCCGTACAGGACGAACTGTGCACTGTGTGAACTGAGTGTGCGATCAACTGTTGTACAAGATGAACCATACAGAGAAAGATGAAATAGACTTTTCAAAGCATTGGTTCGGCAGCCAGCCAAAGCAGGCGATCCCACATAACCAAGGCCGCGCCTCCCCGAATCATTAAGCGACAATTCGTTGTCGTCATTTTAGCACTAACGCATTTAAGCTTAAACAATATAAAAACATCACAATTCGTTCAAACATGCACTCTTACAAAGAAAGGTCTGCATATTAACTGACTAAACACTAACTGTTTACTTGTCTCAAAAAGCACTAACTCTTTAGTAAGTGAAGATAGTAATATGCAGATTAGTGAAACTTGCTGATTTGCTAAGTAGTTCATAAATAGTGCTGACTCAAATAATAAATACATTACTGAATATTTAGTTAACAGGCGTTTATGCATGCTTGTACATTGCCGCATCATGATAATCATATTACAAAAGTATATGTAGTATAATACGTGAAGTGCCATGTCCATGTAGAATAATTAGTGGTCAGTAATTACTTCATGTAGTTACCATGGCAAGTACGCGTAACCACACATAGAGGCATGAACGAATCATAGACGAGAACATGCACACATAGAATATCAAGACTCAGCGCCGGTTTGGAGGCTTTTTGTGCTCCTACTTTCAAATAGCACACTCTGTACTGGATAGCAGCCACAGAATTTGGAAAAATGCTGGACGTTTTGTACCCATCATCGTCTGCCCTTCTATTTGCATATATGTGTGTCATCACCAAGAATAAAATTTTGATTTGATTCAAAGTAATTGACAGTTAAGATTGGTTCAAATTTTTTTAAAGAGTGTCACGATTACTGTAAAATATACGGTGGTGTTTACGAGATATCTGGCAATGTATGTGGCTTAGTAGTTATCTAGTTAAAAAGACCAAGAAAGCAATGCTGGTTAGTAACAACAAAAGTTTCAAGCTTTATGAGCCGCTGGCTATAGAAAAAAGATGCCCGAAAGGTAGTAGAGTACGCTCGAACCAAGTAAATACATGTGTTTCCTAATTTTTTTCCCAAAATTTCGCTGACCATGTAAATGCTATAAGTAGCAGGAGAGCTGCCCCTATGGGAACTAGTAGTGTGCTTGTACTGCATGAGATAAGTCACGAAGCTACTATCCCTCGAACACGGTAACTTGTTTTGCATACTTTTGCAGTTCTTATGCATCTTATGACATCAGCTTTACATTGTTACAATCATTCTTAGCTCGATAAAGTTATCAAGATATGCCTTTAATACGTTGACAAACTATAGGAACGGAACTGACCTGCCTGGCCATTCCGGCAGTGCAAATGGGCTAAGCTTTTTCATTCTAAGGAATTGAAAAAAATTGAAATTGCGGCAAGTTGCGATTCCCCTGAATGGAATTTTGTGCTTATGCCTGCCATGTTAGTGAGCACGCCAGTGATCGCGACGATGTCCTTATAATCAAAGTTCACAGCTGCTGCTCAAGTGATCACAGCCTTGATGGAATCGAAACTGTAACAGCTTCAAAGAAACCAAAAACTCAATATTTCAGCGACATTTTCGGACACAGTGCTTGACGGCTGTCGCACCTTGTAGCTAAAGTCGTATCGTGCGACGAAGTACGGCGCGGATAAACGAGTTTGGCGCAACATGGGCGCTTCGGCGCAAGATGGGGCAGGTAAACCACTTTGGCACACATTGGAGCAAATGGCGCAGCTAATCCAAGCCTGCTACTCTGACCCAAACTTTATTTATAGTTTATTTTATTTGCGTTGCTCTCAGTTTTTCAGTCACGCATAAGATGGGTGACTGAAAAACTGAGAGCAACGCAAATAAATTAACGACCAACAAAGCTGGAACTTCTGCAAAAGGAGCTCTCTAATGCTATCACGTTAAAAATAACAAAGAGTGGCCTTTCTAAAAAAAGCTAGCCCTAGGACACGGTGTAAGAATAAGTTAGGCGCTGACTCTCGTTGCTTCGTGTAAGGAGCGGGCGCGGACATATTGTGTTTGCCGATGACCTTGAGCTACGAGTAGTTTTCATCGTGCGAGTTGAGATGGCGCTACTGTATGGCGTGCCAGGTATTCGCACGGTGCTCATTCTGAAATTCACGCGCAAAAGAACATCTTCCTGAAAGCTTTGTATGCATAGAATTTTGTGATTTAGAAACTCTTTGCCTTGTGCCTGTGAGCACTGCCAGTGCATTTGTTTTGCTGATTTGCACTTTGTAATTCAGTGCACGCATACCTCGATGCTGCATATGACTCCGAGTGCGTGTGAGCCGACTTGTAGCTGGTTGCGTCTCAAAATGGACAGGTAGTGTTTCGTCTCGAATTGCAAGTCGGGGTATCGGAAGCTTGTACGGAGCGTGTGTTGCTTTTCAAGGTTCCCCATGAACCAGAGCACTTGAATAAGTGGTGACGGGCTAGTCTGAGAGATGACAGAGCCTCGCAGCCTACTGACCATGTGTGCGCTAAGCATTTTCCGGAAGAAGCGATCTCTGCCACATATGCAGAATACAAAAGAAACAACCTGCTGCATGCACTATAAAACCTGCGGGGCTGCCCAGAATACCTGATCATGCAACCTAAAAACCAGGAAAGCTTTGCAAAAAATGACTGGCTCTACTGCCGACTTTTCGGAAGCGACGGGGGCCAAAAGGTTCAACTGCATCTGAAGTGCCTCACACGACCGCTGAAAGTACGCCAAATTTACTGCGGGTGGAGACAACGACTCCACAGCATAGCGATGATGAACATGTATACACGCGAAAGGCAGCGCTTCAACTTCAGCAGTGACGGGCCTCCTCCACTGTGAAGAGGAGGATGAGTCTCAACATGACACTGATAGTGTGGGCCTATGCGCTACCGTCAGTTCCTCATCACTACGGAAAAGTAATTTGTTTAAATTCAGATGCCATTCTTGAGCTGCCTCATCTATGCCCTATTTGGACCAAAAAAAATTAAGTTTTGAACAAAAATCACTGTGCATACTATTTCTGTGATGCAGCCGTGTGTTTTTCACATTGACTATATTCACGTACTTGATGTCACCAGGCTAGATTTTCTCATTTTTGGTTGTCTGTAGCACACCATCGTCACCGTCTTGCAACACTGCAGGAACACTTCCGAACACGGTACTTATGGCACAACACTGTTTGTTAAGGCAGAAGCCTTAGACAGCCTTAGATGTCTCATCAAACACGAAATATGACTGTCGGCATTCCGCGCCCGGGTCGTAAAGAGCGAGCTGCACAAAATATAGTGCTTTATGTAGTCCGCTTCCTTTCAGTCTGATAAAGCGCTTCATCAAGTTGATGTCCGCATGGCTTAATAAAATAGGGCAAAGTATGGCTGATGACATTGGCCCAACAATCCCCCTACATGGGTCTGGTACGGGTTAACCCAGGGTAAACCTTCAGGACCCATTGAAGTTCTTCCCACCATTTTGGCCTCCAGCAGTCATCTGCGTGACGCTTACAGCAAGACTGGCAAGAGT